CTCCGTCAGCAGGATCATGAGCGCGCCTCTCTGTCTCGCGACGGAGTCCGCAGCCCCCGATTCCCGCTCTCCACCTCCTCTTCCTCCTCCTCTCAGCATCCTCTTCTTCTCCCTTCTCGCCAACAATTTCGCCCATGAACTCCTGCGCCGTCCTTGTGCCGCCTCTCTCACAGCAGCCTTTGCGCCTTTTCTTTGGTCTTTGCTGGATCGCCAGCCACTGCTTGCTTCTCTCAGCCTTCTTCAAGCACACGGCACGGGAGGAGTCGCCCTCTCTCCATCGCGGTTCCTTTGGCCTTGAGCTGGCAACACAAGCCTTCAGCAGAGGTCGACATGGGGTGGAGAAGGTGAGGAGTTAGCCTCGTGGCTCTCTCGGTGTCTAACCTATCTCTCGATACCAAATGTTGGAGGTAACACAGACTTGATTAGCCTGAAAAAGCCACAAACCCAGGTGCCGTCTCCTTGATTATATATAGAGATAGACATTGCATTGATTACAAACAGCTCACTAGAGCATAGCTAATCAGATAGGTGCCTTGGCAGCCGTACACACCTCTTGGGCTGCCCAAGGTCTTTAATGACTGTAATTAACTAGCATAGTTATCTAGGAAGTGCTTAGGAAGCAGGGCTTATTAACTACAAAAACGACCTACAATTTGGGACAGAGGGAGTAGTTGGTTGTCAAGCAACATATGGAAACTTGAGCTATGCAAGGAGGTGTCATGCCCACCATCCACCATTCCAATGTCTTACAACCCATTTGGACAGGGATAATTGCTCTAGGAATTCTGGGAATTTAGTTGAGATAAAAAAAATTGAATGATTTGAAAACCAACACAAACAAGTCCTTCACTCCCATGAATAATGAACTAGGTAATTGATGAGAAGGCATTTCTATTTTAGATATTGACCTTAAATGTACCCAAGATAGGGCCTCACCTGCACTTTCTCATTGATTTTTTTTAAAAAAAAAGAAAAGTCTCTCAATGAAATCATCTTTTTAAAGGGCTTATATGATGAAAGAAGCAAAACCACAGTAACACTTAGTTTGTCAAGGTTGAGATGTTTACCTCCAGTTCAGACCCTAGAGCATGAACAAACAAAACTAGTGTCGAGGACCTGACCATTTAATCAGGTCTACAAGGTTGTAATGGCAGCCATGATCATACAACATGCACAGGGGCATCATGCACCACAAGAATTGAAATTTCAAAAGAATTTTTTCAACAATACACTAGACTTTATACTTCCAGTTAGTTAAAAGTAAGTAATGTTTTTGGAATACGAATACATGTAATCAATGTGATTTAGTCTTGACCTACAGTATCTTTATAGGAGTATCAATTGGCCATATGAAAATCATAAACACATTTTGCCTTAAAAAAACTTCAATGATATTAAAACATATATTAAGCATATAATAGGATGATAAACACATGTTTTAGCCATTTAGCTTTCTCAACAAATAGTTGATGTAAAAGTAGGCATATCATGATCTAACAACAATGGGCGTTACTCATAACAAAACAACAAGCACAGGTATCCTCCATAGAACAAGCTGTCAGTTGACAAAGTCAGAGAACACATTGTCAAGAAAAGGAATGCAGCGTTTTGTTCCAATACTACTGAACTGTAGTGATCTTGAATGCAGTATTTTGGAACTCAACTCGCCAAGTAATATTGCAGCAGAAAGCTATGCTTACACGCTAAAGACTCAGAAAATAGGCTTTGATATTTCAATTCAAATGCTAACCACAACATATATGATCAATATAAGCACTGAAGCTACCCACTTCAGTCATAGTGCACCACTGTCTTCTAAAGTAACATTTTACAGTCTTAATTCTGAATAGATCTTGAACTAACAAGTGAACAATATGCTGCTACATTGGTAACTTCAATCCTAGATGAACTATCAAGAGTACTAGGGCTGTTAGTAGAATATACTGTATTGCTATACCTCGTATCTTAACCCAAAAAAAGGAAATAAATAAATAAATAAGCATTGCAGTTAGGGGCTAAGAGTTGCTTTATTTATGCTGCAAGCTGAGGGTTCAATCTACTTCAACTTAATAAGGAGTATTAGAGTTAACTCCAACTCTTCAAGAAGAAAAGAAGAAGCAGATATTTAAATCCTGCTCATTTGATAAGAGATGCAACTTTGAACACCATAAAACAACTGGGACAACCATTCTATTAGCTTGTTTGGATTGCACAACACAAAAAAGGCTCAAGTTGGTGAACCAAAATTTCATCAGACAAGCTCTACAGTCACCAAAATTTCATACTCCATGTATTACCGGTACCCAGATGGCCAAATCACACCAGCATCTCAAATCAAACAGAACCCAAAACACTCAACAAATCTATGGATAATTGATAGCAGAAACTGCAGAAATAATCTACCAACCAGATCTTTTGTAATCATAGCATAGGAAAACTCAGCATAAATAGAACTGATCCGTCGTCTCAACGCACAGCTCAACATTAAGAGGGGTAAAGGCGGCCTTTCTGGAATCGATGGTTCGCCCGATTCATGATTCTGGTGGCGGCACGGAATCATCAGTGCCATGACGAAACCAAGGAGGAAGCGAGCGTAAGATTTTTCCATGGCTGCAGGTTGTGGTGGAAGGTCAGGGGCGAAATCCTCGATGTCGAGAATTAGTCGGCCAGGCTAAAACTAAACTAGGTCTATCCTGTAATCAATTGTAAGGTATCCGCCGGGGGGAAAGGGGAGTGAGGAGGTGCGAGGCACGCTCCCGTTTGGGGATTTTTTTATTTTTTTATGAACGGCCAAAAACAATAAATACTGCTGATGCTGTCAATAGCATTGCCAAAATTACACCCAGAGCTGACAAAGAAACACAATTAAAGTTTTGACACTGTGTACTAATCTCTTCTAGCTAATTTAGTAATCGACAATATAAAAGCATAACAAGGTCGACTTGCGGGTAAGTTCTTGAGTTTGCATAGAAATTTGTAATTCCCAATAGTGTGTACCTGCATGTACATGTGGAAGAATTCATTCTCCTTAGTTTGGGTTACTGTTAAGCAAGGTGACAGTATGATGTCAAGCTGTATACGTGAGCACCAGTGCAACTAGGATACATGGCATTTCATGCCCATATGTTAAAAACGAAATGGCAGTTTGTCAGTGATGAGTTCACAGTAAATTTCGGGCGTCATGGCAATAGACAAATTCTATAAGCATCCTAGTAGCCCTCATCAGGCGTGCAGCATTGAAGCCGAATTGGCATGGAAAATGGACATTCCAAGCGCTAACTCTATCCCTAGACTGCAATCTGAGCAAAAACCAGTCTAGAAATTCACAGCAGGTAATCTGCGCTTTGCTGACCAATCCCGCCACATTGCAGGCAGCAACACTTGTCGCCCAAGCAGCGAGGCTACGGCCTAAGTTTACCTCGCAGACACACTGAGAAACGAAGCAAAAGCATGTAGAGCCCTGGCCCTGGCAGAAGCAAGTGGAAGGGTAATGCGCTGCGGTCTGCGGCTCACCTGTTCGATGGTGAGGCACTGCGCCTCACTGGCCCGCGCGAGGTCGTCGTACCGCGCGTTGATCCGCCGCTGCAGCGGGCCAGCCACGGAAGCGAGCGGGAACTCAGGCCGGCGGGGGAGCAGCGCCTCCTTCCCCGCCGCCTTCGCGGCGGCGTCCCGGTCCCCGTCCGCGCCGTGGCCACCACCTTCCGCCGCCGCCCCCTCCTCCTGCCGCCGCTTCCTCCGGGCCCTCCTCCTCCTCCGCTGGTTCTGCGGCCGCTCCCCGCCGCCGCCTTCCTCCTCCTCCGCCTCCCCCGCGGCGGCCGCCTCGAGCGGCGGCGGGACTTGCTGCCGGGGCCTGCGGCGGCCGAGGACGTGAAGGCAGAGCGCTGCCACGGCGAGGACAAAGATGAGGAGGATGAGGCCCGCGAGCGCTATCGTCTGCGGCGGTGCGGCCATTGGCGGCGGGCGCGCGTCATCCCCAGTCGGGGCGTGCTGCGATTTCCGCTTGCTCGTTTCTTTTTTCTCTCCTCGCTTTACTTTTTTTTTTCGTAGGAGTGCGCGCGCCGTGTGCTTGCGTGTGCTTCACTCGGCGCCGCGTTTTTTAAAAGCGTCGGGCCTCAGGCGGCACACTGCCTCGTGAGGTGGTGGAGTTGTTCCCAGCGGCGGCTTGCGCGGCCCGCGCACTTGCAGTTGCACGACACGACTTGCTTCCGCCGTGTCGTTCGTTCGGACGGAGGAGGAGAGCTTCTGAGCCTGTGAGGCCTGAGCTGGTTGCTGGCTTGCTGCCCATGCCGGTTCGCCGCCGGCTTGGGGAACCAGATTGCTCCGGAATGCTTCAAACTTCTGTTACTTGGGGGATTCCACCTTGCAAAACCCTGTTAATAAGCTTTCGATCAGAAAGTTCAGAACTGTGGGCGCTGTGGCCCTGCTCCTGCATACAGATACAGGAACCAAACACAAAGGAACACATTTCAGTTGGACGACATTCAAATTAATACGCAGTGAATAAAACTGCCGAGGCTATTCATTCCCACAGCATCTTAGCGCTAACAGAAATCACAGGAAGGAAACAGAAGAAAAAAAAGGGCGTGTGTACAAACAGAATCATCACAGGTTGCAAGAAATTCGCACGACATGGTTAATTACCTACACGAATTTCGGTCGATTACAACACCCCAAATCGGGCCTTGTTTTATGTGTCACTCACCAATCACTGAAGATTAACACTCGAGCTTCTTTGCAAACATCAAGCTATCATTCTCGCAAGCCCCAGGTCAGCCCAGACATTCAGAGTCTTTATTTTCGCAGAGTCTCCAGAGTTTGTGCATATCTATGATGCCCCATTCGCAGAAACATGCTGATGAATATACGGTGGTGGTGTTCGCTAACCATTTGCTCCCAGTCTCGCTTTTGCATCTGCATGCACTGTGACTCATGCGTCCTCCTCTCGGTCGCTGGGGTCAACACTAAAGAGAAACCTTTGTGCAAGCGTGATACCAATATCGTTACACCTCGGAGCTGTTCACTTTGTTGCAGGTTGTGGAGGTGTGGCAGAAGCTGGGGTTGTTTTCCTGCCAAAGATAGTTCATTAGTTTGAGCCCACTCCTCCTAAAAGACTTTGAAAATAGTACTTATCGACCAAGGATGCTTTACTGGAAACTTGAGCGCAGCTCGTCTGCAATATGTTGTGAAGAGGCACCACTTGTGAAGCCCAATTGAAACATCAGTTGCTCTAACCGTTTGAAATTTGTGAGGTAAAGATATCCAATCTAACAGAAAACAAGATCAACAATGTGACAATTATTCTAAACACAAATTGCAGCATAGAACAGAATAATACGCAATTTTAGAGTACTGCACACCAGTGTTTCTAGTGAAGATGCCCGATTGTAGACTGCAATTCCTGCACGCTTTCTGGTGCGAGTTTTGCTGCTAACAATATTCCTCCCCCAACGAAGTATGTCCCTACAAAATGTGATTAAACATGTAACTCAAAGTACGTCTTGAAGGCTCATTATTGAATAGGCTTGAGGCCCTGGACAGTGTAGAAAGAGTAGAGAGATACAACATTTTCCCAAAAACAAATATGGTAACTCCAAACACCCATGCTAGTCTTGGCAAATGGCAAAATGCTAACATTCCGTATAACTCCAGGCATGCATGTTAAGGCTACAGAAGATCATTTCTCTATAGAAACTATATTGTTGATAGTGTAGATTAGCATTTATGCTTCACCTTTCTTCTTCAGTTAGAAAATCCTCTCCAAGAAGCTTGTTCAACAAAAGGTCCTGGAGCGAGGAAAAAGCACAGTTATAACAAGAAGATTTCTGAACAACATATTATTACACAGGACTGGCTATATTTAGAAAGCTGAACTGGAAAACAACAAATGGAATGAATAGCTTTTGGAATTCTGGAAGTCCAACCATATAACCACAAGATTGTAAGTGAAACCACATACAGGAAAGAAGATACACCAATAGCACACGATACAAATGCTTAGCATTAGCAGATCATAGAATTTATTCTGACGTCATGTCATATAATTAATTACTAATACATGTGGAGTTTTAGCCAATAAAAAGGATAGGCAAACCCATACCTGTGACTCACACTTCACAACATCCATCACACGTTTGTTGTACTCATTGATGCTCAGAGGTGGAAAGAAGAAGTGCCTCCGAGCATAAAGCTGTACACAGAAAGAGAAAGAATCAGATTTTCCTACAGAAAGAAAGCTTCAACTTGACAACTAGTACACTTCTATATCGGTGTTCACACGGCCTGATTCTCACTTCATATATGCAGTCTCCCAAGTAAGCCAGTGACGCCGCACTGTAGAGCGATCGGGGTTTCTTCACCTCTGGTGGAGGTGGCAACCACCATTTCTCAAAGCCCATATATGTGCTCTTCTTTAACACTCCTGTATCAACCATATTAATCAAAGATCAAACTTGAAGCTTACGGCGAGGAATAATTGCAAAACGCACACACAATCAACAGTTGAACACATTGGATTAGTTAGTTACCATCATTGCTTTTTTTTCTTAAGGTGGAATGACAAATAAGATATAAAAGATCTTTCAGTTCTGCAGAGGTGCAAACTTGGGGGAGTTGTTGGAAATGCTATCAACCATTCAGCAGATTGATGCTAGAGACATGAGGTTTATTGGGGGACGGAACCAAACAGGGAAGTACCTATGTGTCACTCTATAATCTGATTGGTTCAAGTGTATGGTAAATACTCACTTGCAGGATATATGGAGTGCTGACTGTTTTAACAAACTCTGAGTTGGGGCAATGAAAACTCCGACCCTATTACTTTTAACTATAGACTGCCCAATTGCTAGGAGTTTGTGGATACAGGACTGTGCTGATTTAAGCTGGTGCTTCCAGCAGTTAGCCAGTTATGGGATTATGCCTCCTTTGTTGTGTCAGGCCTGTATAACCATTTCTGCTATAACGGTGTCTATCTAAAAAAACACGACCAATTGTATTTTTAGAGTTTAAACAACCAATTGTATTCTCACTCATCAACGACACAATCTCCCTGACACGATTCATTTCAAACTCTCAGTACCTCAGTAGCCCTATGCAGCATTTACGATTGTGCTGATCGATTTGGTGCCCTCTCATTACTAGTTACTGCAGCAGCAGGCAACAGAGAGTGCAGAAGCTTCAGGCGGCCAGGCGAAGAACCGAGCGCATGGTGAGGACAGGAGACGGTACCTTGGCCCTCGCTGGAGCGCGCGAAGAGGTCGGCGTGGGTCGGAGGAGGCGGGCGGGCCGGGGTGGTGGTCGCGGGCGGCGGCGGCTTGGCCTTGGCCTTGGAGGGCTTGGGCGTGGACACGGTGGCGGCGCCCGGGGTCATGTCCCAGGCGGCGCAGACGCGGAGGGGTGCGCGGGCGCGGGGGTGGTGCGTCGCCATGGTCATGGTCGCCGCCGCGGTGGCCATTCGCTGCTCGCGCCGGCGTCGGAGGATACTGGACTGGAACTGGATAACATAACACACAGCCGTAAAAGATCTTTTCCCCACTTTTCTCCGTGACACTCGACGGCCCCACCTGCCAGTAGTGAAACGCATCCTAATCCTAAGGAATACGTTTAACAACTGTGTTGGCGTAATTTCGGTAACACGTCTTCAGGACCTCGTCTCGACTCGAGCGCTTCGACGCGACTCTCCTCCGCTCGCCGCCATCGAGTTCACTCGCTTCAATTCGAATCACAAATTTCACCTCCTGCAGTGTTGCTTGCTCCTGGAATCTTCGGAACCGAGACCACCGCGTCAAGCACCGAACTACCCAACCAAACCCTACCGGTCGCGGCTTCCATACCATCCCGCGGCTAAACCCTAGCCGTGCTCCTCGCCGCCGGCGACCGCCGCCATGAGCCGCTACGACGGCCGCGCTGCGGACGCGGGCTCCTACCGCGACCGCCGCAGGTAATTGGCAGCCCCACGCCCGGGCCCTAAACCCTAAGCCCTGGCCGTGGCCCGTGGCCGACGCGAGCTGACTGACTGTGCTTCCGCTTGTGTTCCATCCAGCGAGGGGGCGTTCGGGGGCGGGTCGAGGGCGTTCGCGGCGCCGAGCAAAGCGGATGCTTCCGCGGCGGCCTCGGAGCTGGATGGGGTGCCGCGCTTCGAGAAGAACTTCTACGTGGAGTCGCCTGCGGTGGCCGGCATGACGGAGGAAGAGGTGGAGGCGTACCGCCGCCGCCGGGAGATTACCGTCGAGGGCCGCGACGTGCCCAAGCCGGTGCTTGAGTTCCGTGGTGTCGGCTTCCCAGGTATGATTATGAGGCTGATGTTGCCGTTCACAAGAAGTTAAACGTTCGGTGAATCAGGATGTGATGGAGTTCATCGAATGTTTGATTAGACTTCTTAGTTGTGACACTGAACTACATGAGTTAGATTAGTGTTGATGTAACTAATTTGAGTTCCTTGCATCAGTCATAGACTATAAGCACCTATATTCAAGTATGCCCAAGCCACACCATGGCACATGCACATAAACAGAATGTTTGATTAGACTTCTTAGTTGTGACACTAAACTCAGAGCGCGCAATCTTATCCTACTGCATGAGTTAGATTAGTGTTGATGTAGCTATTTTGAGTTCCTTGCAGCACTCATAGACTATAAACACCTATAATACTAATAGAGCATTATGTTCAAGTATGCCCAAGCCACACCATGGCACATGCACATAAACAGAGTTATATGGTTGCATTTCAAGTTGTGTTACCATCAGAACTTATATTTGGACTAAGCCATTGATCACTTTCGCGATTCCATTCAAACAAATTGTATACAATTTATAGGACTTGCAAGGAGCCAGATAGGCCACTGAATCCTTTGCCAACGACTTGTGGGCCTCTTGGCCTTTTGATTTCGTGACACCTGAGAAGGCGCTTTCCATTCTAATCTTATGTCTTGGAGGCAAATGCATTGATTCTTGACTTGGTGTATTCAAGTATGTCTTGGCCTACAAGTGTGTCCCTGTGGTTATTTTCATTATGAATGGTGCTATGCAAGCCATTGTAGAGTTCAATGGTTTTACTTGTAAGTGAAAGCAGAATGGGATCTGTTTTAGAGAAAAATATTGACAAGAAATCGATAATAACTGTGTTAGGGCATATTCTTGTGAACATACTGAGAGCTGAAGGATTCTTTGTTTCATTAGATCCTGGAGTTGAGAGCACACATTTCTCAAAGCAGCGAGTTAAGTTGAGGAAGCACCCGAATTGAATTCTGTAGAAATGGGGAACCTAGCTGGTCTTTAGAGCCTCCCAGGGCTAATTATCTTGTATGAATTGTCCTATCTATATTAGTTTCTGTACTTAAGATATTCTATGTGTGAATTGTCGATGATAGGATCCTTTAAATTTGGCAGTGCTCCTTTTGCATGTAGCAGGCATTGCACTTTTCTTCTGTGTGGGACCTTCATATGTACATATTTATAGCTTTGAATGCTGACCTTAGTGGTGTCATTTTCATTTTTCAGAATATGTGTTGCAAGAAATTACAAAAGCTGGTTTTGTGGAACCTACTCCTATCCAATCGCAAGGTTGGCCAATGGCACTGAGGGGTCGTGACCTTATTGGCATTGCAGAGACAGGATCAGGGAAAACTCTTGCTTACCTTTTACCTGCGGTTGTTCATGTGAATGCTCAGCCTATTCTTGGTGAGAATATGTTGCCCTGATGCTTTTCCTTCATGATCATCTTTTGGGAACTTCCTGCCCAAAATTATGAACACTTACAGCTTTGTTATTGTTGAAGCCCCTGGCGATGGTCCAATCGTCTTGGTGTTAGCTCCTACACGTGAACTTGCTGTTCAGATACAGCAAGAAGCAACCAAGTTTGGTGCATCATCAAAGATAAAAAGTACTTGCATATATGGTGGTGTGCCAAAAGGTCCACAAGTTCGTGATCTTCAAAAAGGTTTCTTCTTCGTCCCTCTGCGTGAAAGAAAATCTGTTGGTCCATAACAATCAACAATATATATAACTATATAAGTCATAATTGTTCTGTAGTCTACTGTTTGGTTTCTTCTGTGTGTAATACTAATATCACAAAATTTCATTAGATGCATGGGCGAGGTATAACTGAGTTTTGGGGATGGGAAAGTGAAGGAAAATGACAGCATTGCACTGATCATATTAATTGTGTTATTTCTTTTATGCCAGGTGTTGAAATTGTTATAGCCACACCAGGACGACTAATTGATATGATAGAATCACATCATACAAACTTACGAAGGGTCACATATCTTGTTTTAGATGAAGCAGACCGGATGCTAGATATGGGATTCGAACCTCAGATTAAGAAAATTGTTTCTCAGGTACACTTTTTCTGCTACATGAAATGTTACTGCCTCTGTCCTGAAAAGGATGCAATTCTAGAATAGTGTTGTGTTAATGTTTGTTAAGTTTGACCAAATTTATATAAAAAAATACTAGTATTTATCGTACTAAATAGATATCGTTAGATTCGTCATAAACCATATTTTTATAGTATACATATTTGAAGTCATATATGTTGATACTATTTTCTATAAAGTTAGTCAAACTTAGGGCAGTTTGATTTTGACCAGACCTAGAATTGCATTCTTTTTAGGACGGAGGTAGTGCATTTCATATTGGTTCCCACCCCTGTTGAATATACATGTAATTCAATGCCCTGATGTATGTTTGTTGTATGTTTCAGTATCTTGCGTTTTTGTCAGTCTGGATGAATTTAGTGGTTTATGTTGTGATGTCAGTTACTTTCATTGATCTATGAAAAATAAATTTTGATTATTGATTTACATGATCCAAACCTTATCTGTTAGTTCAGATTCGTCCAGATCGTCAAACACTTTACTGGAGCGCTACATGGCCAAAGGAAGTTGAGCAGTTAGCAAGGAATTTCCTTTTTGACCCATACAAGGTACTTACTATAGCCCACCCAACTGCAGTGCATCTTTCCATTTCTACTGCATGTCAACACTGCTGAATTAATATGGTGCAGGTCACTATTGGTTCTGAAGACTTGAAGGCTAATCATGCCATTGTTCAGCATGTAGAGATACTATCTGAGAGTCAGAAGTATAACAAGTAGGATTTCCACAAAAAAAAAATTCCCCGTTTCATACACATCATTCAAACAATGTCTTAATGATACTTGTATCTGTACAAGGCTGGTTAATCTACTGGAGGATATGATGGATGGTAGCCGAATTTTAATATTTCTGGACACCAAGAAGGGATGCGATCAGATTACTAGACAGCTTCGAATGGACGGTTGGCCTGCTTTGTCTATCCATGGTGACAAGAGCCAAGCAGAACGGGATTGGGTCCTTTCTGAATTCAAGTCAGGGAAAAGTCCTATTATGACAGCCACTGATGTTGCTGCTCGAGGCTTAGGTATGCACAACTTTTAGATGTGATACACCTTATATTTCCTGAAGAAACTGATACATATTTCTTGCCCTTGGGAAACAGATGTCAAGGATGTGAAGTATGTCATTAACTATGACTTTCCAGGGTCGCTTGAGGATTATGTTCATCGTATTGGTCGTACTGGCAGAGCAGGTGCAAAAGGAACAGCTTATTCCTTTTTCACTGCAGCTAATGCCAGATTTGCCAAGGAACTTATTAGTATTCTGGAAGAAGCTGGACAAAAGGTCAGCTCTGAGTTAGCTGCTATGGGTCGTGGTGCACCTCCCCCTTCTTCAGGTAAGTTTGCTATTGGATGTCTGTTTTTAGTTTCCCCAAATGGAGGTCTGTTATTCCTGAAGTGGCATTGATTTCTGAATGAATTGGAATATTTTTCTTTTTCTTTTTTTTTGCAGGTTACCGTGATAGATATAGGGGGTTTGGGGGTGGCCGATCCTGGAGTTGACTTTCAAATGCTTAGTTGCTGCTAAGATTAATGCTTTACCTTTGTTTGTGGATGGATGTTGTTTTGGGGCACTGAACATTTTGACTAGTATTCGGCAAAGATGGATTCATATACTCTTGGATATATACTTGTCTTGATACTAGAAATGTGGCATGATATGATGCCTGCAATATCATTAGTTTATTTTTAGGTCTAGTTTTCAGATTGACAGCATCGCTCACAATTAGCTCATATCAGAGGTAAGAATTTGTAGTAAACATCAATTCATCCATGATTTAGTGACCAGTTTTACTCTTCCTTTTGGTTGCTAGAACAATGGTGATGAGTTTGACATACTGTGTAGTTTTGCAAAATGGAACATCTTTGTTCCAGCCCCCCACCCCCATTTTTTTCTCTCTACATCTTGTTTGTCAGATCTCAGTTGGTACTGTTTTTCTTCTGGTTCAGTAGGTTTTTCCCCTTTTCTGGTAGTCAAGCAGATAATGCACACCTTGTTAGGATAGTACAGTAACTTCTAGGTTGTCTGGTATAGCAAGGAGGGTGTGTTATGGCCACATCTTCTATGAAGATATTCTGAACTTTTTTTGTCTCCATAAAATAGGTTGTGATGATCTATAAAATAATGTTGTGGTGATGATTCATGAACACGCTTCCTGCCCAGCATAGGATTCTTTTGATACGCATCTACTATTATACTATTACTGACCCGAGTTCTTCACAAGATATAAGAAATGCCCTTGTCAGCTCTCAGCTGGGACTGGTAACTTCAGAAGGACAGAAACTCTGTCTCATATCTACCTCTTTTGCTTAGTTACTATTTACTTCAATGCAGCATAATTCAATGTTCATCCCTGAAATTGCAATCTGAAATTAATAGCTCTGTTATAGCATGTGGTAAGCAAGGATCTGGCAAAAGATGGGTTTGTGGTCATATCTGCTGCCCCGTATCTAATACATCTGTCAATTGCAGCTATCTGCCATGGTAGCCGAAAACTGAATTTTGTTTGTATGAAGGGAGTCGTTCAGTGGTTGGTTGCAGTGTGGTCCAGTCCATGGCTTCTTGTTTTAGAAATTGCCTGCATGATTTGATTGTGTAAAATCTTATCATCAACATCTGTTGTTTACATTGTTCTTGCTATAGCTGGAAACCCTTCATTAAACCTGTTTCCATAACTGTTTGGCTACTTCAAAAGAGTTGTTTTTTTTAATAGATGGGATAGTGATCGGTTTATCTCTGAAGATATTGTTGTGAAATAACTACACTACATGTAGTAAGCCCTTAGCTGAGGCTGTTGCATGTTGTGTACTGTTGATTGTTTGTCTGCTGCCTCCCGTATATTCTACTGTGTTTGCGACCTGTTGGTACTGTATCTGCCCACGTCGCGCATTACTCATGCCATGTTTGATGTTTGAGATCTCTCCATCTCCCTGGAGCCATGCTTTGGGCCGCTGCCGGAAATGAGAGGATTTTTCTTACGTTGCAGCTTTGGTGCAGAGCAGTGCAAAGGGCGGGCACGCCCACATGTGGCTGGACCATGAGGCCACCCAAGCGTGCGGGCATGCATGCATGCTCTGCCTTGATTCTGTGTTCCCAAAAGCTAGTGTCGCTGGTCTCGCTCGCACTGGGGATTGTAGGAGGAACTGCAGAGGTCCGGGCCAGGCAGACATCGGTCACATCGCGTACGTATTCGCGTTAGGTTAGTGTAGCATAGCTGCTGCTGCAACTGTTGGATCTTGGACCAGCATCATTGCCGTTTTGCCCTTGGTCAAAAGGGCGTAAGCAGTAGCACCAATCATCGTGGTGAGAGGAGATAGGAGAACGATGCAAGAAGGTTCCAATAGCATGAGAACACGCATATATGCACATGGGGCATTGCATAGCATAGCATACACACTCAGGGAAAGTTAACCGAGCTCTGGTGTTCACTCGAGGTAAGGATGGGTGAAAGTCAACTAACATGTTTGTTCTCCGAAACTTAAAAAGAATCAATTGGTAGGGGATGATCTGCATGGGTGTATGATAATGTTTGGTAAGAGGCATAACCATGAGAGCAGGTGATCTTGGGATGGTGGATTAGCATATATGGTTATGGCATGAGAGCGAGTGATCTTGGAATGGCGAACTAATTAGCCGCTGCTGGTAATGGCAGGCGACCTGAGTTATTGGGGTCCCTGCCTGCCTGCTCATCTGTTCTTCAATGAAGGGCTGAAAGCGTCCCAAAAGGGATCAACTGCATTTACCCTTTTCCTCCGGTGGAGTGGAGGGACAGCATTTTTTTTCTTCTTCTTTTTGCAGCTTCAGCATGGTGCATGGAAGAGTTGAGAGCAGAAGCAGGATCACACAAAGGCAAAAGGCTGGGCTGGATTGCCTCGTCACTCTCCAACCATCCATCAATCCATATCCATTTCTACGGCATCATCTCTATCCTCTCCATGTACTATGCATATAATATACGTTCCAAAATAAATGTACATATCAGATAAATCACTCCTTTTAAATTTAACTAAGTATATAAAATATTATTAATATTTTATATCTCTAAATAAGTTTATAACTTATTATAAAATACATTTGATAATCAATCTAGTGATATTTCATTATGTATTATAAATATTAGTATTTTTATATATTTAATTAAATTTAAAAATATGACTCCTCAAAAAGCGATACGTGTGTTTTAGAATGGAGAGAATACTCCTATATATTACTCCTTCCGTCCGGTTTATAAGACGATGTCTGATATGGTACAACCGTCGGAATTATACTTTCACCATTCATTTATGTTATATTATATTGTTTATGATTATAAACATATAATTATTAGATAATATATTTGATTACAAATCTAATAGTATCAAGTTTGTATTATAGAAGTTAAAAATGTTGGTTAAATTATTGATTAAAGTTCATAAAATTTGACTGTTAACATACATGAAATGCCTTATAAAATGGAGTACTCTATACTTTATGCGTCATGGTCTGCTTGGACCTCTCTCTCTAGGCCCTATATAGGGTATACTTCCTGCCCCAAGCAACGCAGCAGCATGCAGTACAAGAGACCCTGAGAGAAAACCCCAGACAACTTTCCAGTAGTCAAAGTCCTAGCAGTAGACACTGGGACCCGGACATTCCTTAAAGCACAATCCACCACCACTTAATCTTCAATTCATTTTGTTTTAGATGGGGATTATTGTGGAGCATCATCCCAAATCCCAATCCCTTGTGGCATAACTAGTATATAGTACACAGTACTCTATTATCACAATCAAGGCCTATCCATGACCACATGATGGGTCATGCATGCATGCCTATTGCATTGCCTAGCTAGTAGTATAAGTAAATACTACCACACTAATACTCCTCTTACCACTACTGATTACTCGTAGTAGACTAGTGTACTACTCATACGGTCGATCAATGTGCCTACCTCCGAGCCTCTGCTTCCTCTCTTCTGTACACGTACATCCAGATCCAATATATATGCATATAGCAGTGTGGAGCAGCAACACATTTCGGAAGGACGACCCATCATCGATCACGATCAGTGTGTAGACGCGCCTTTTGCTGCCATGCATGGTTCATATATATATATATATATATATATATATATAATGATGATGATAGTGTATATATATTTTTTTATATATAGTGCTTGTGTAGAAAGTTGCTGAGCCTCTGCATATGATGTGATGACTGAAATCTGCATGCATGCACACTTGCACAGGTAGCTAGTCTTTGCTGGTGAGCCTGATGGGCATGCCTCGCTTGAGCCGCACGGTTGGGAAGTTGACGATGTGGTCCTCCTCCGCCACCCACCTGCAAATGCAATGCAACCAACAAGCAGCATCCATCAGATCAGCACGTAGCAGAGCAGGGGGCCGGGTATCAATTCAATGCTCCCATTTGCCTGCCATCCATCCATCGATCGATCCATCTCCATGCAAATATGCAATGCAACAAACAACAACACGATGCGAATCCATCTGCCATTATGCATGCATGCATGGTGGTCGAAATCGCCATGAAAACGACCTCATCAGGCAGGCACTGCAGGCTCGATGCTGTTGATGACCAGTCAAGTAGGAGTACATCAGATGCAAGAGTGCTATGGCCTATTGGCTCGCTGGCTGGCTACGTGTTTATGCCGGTCGACAGCCGTGGCGGCCATACCCTGCTGCGGTGCTGCCTGCTGGCACGTCGTCGGTCAAGGCATGCACACCTTGAGACTCTCCAATAGCGCAACACAAACGCAAAATACGTCGTACATAGTGTTTTGCATATCAAAAATACGGTCCAACAGAAGACCCAAACAGCGGACCTATTTTGCATACCACCCGAGGCGAAACGCAAATAAGCGTCTTCGAGAGAGACGACGCAAATCTCTGGCCACCGCGGACGCGCTCGCCGACTGGAACACGAGCCACGCCACACCCTGCGCCTGGACGGGCGTCACCTGCGACGACGCCGACGCCGTCACCGAGGTCTCCCTCCCCAACCTCAACCTGGTCGGCTCCTTCCCCGACGACGCGCTCTGTCGCCTCCCACGCCTGCGCTCCGTTGACCTCAACACCAACTACATCGGCCCGAACCTCGACAGATTGAGCACTTGTCTGTGTATTCAACTGGTGATTTTGTGTTGGGAAGTGATGCCCCTTCCTCACGTTGCCCTCTGGGGTTCGATTTTTGAGTCTGAGCTGTTTCATGCCCGAGTCCTTGGTTTCTGGTGCTTCCCTCTCTTGGTTCTTGATGGATTCAAGTTTTTCTTTGGATTTTGCTTGGACAGATTGATGCTTTATCGAGTGATGAACAAGATCCCCAAGTGATTTGAGCTAATTCCACTCGTGCATAAGATCCAAGCAGATTTTCATTTTGGGAAAAACTCGTGTTCTTGGTCTTAATTTGAGTTTGCCGGAGTTTGGGTCAATCCCAGATAATGATTTTTGGGGAATAGGTTCGTGCTAAGCTGAATTTCATCGGTGCAAAGGTTGGGAGCAAATCGTTTTGATTTGATGGAGATCCAGTCGATTTTCTTGCAGGCGAGCTGCTGTTCGTAGCGCTCGGCCTTGCTCTGTTCTTCGTTCGGGTTGTGTTGGGCTTCTGATGAAGCACTTGAGGCTTTTGCTCCAGTTGCCGAGCGGCACAGGTGGGCACAGAGCCGAGCGCTCCTTGTCCGAAACCTCGGCAGGCCGCGCCTTCAGCGTTCCCTGAAGTTCACACACGGTGAGCAGCCCCGTCGTCTGCGTTCTTCTTCGGTTCCGTGTTTCCGTCAGTCTGTGTTTGTTTGTTGTTTGCGTCAGAGTGCAGCGCTAGGCGGGACTGCGGCGGGGAGCCGCCGGCACGGCGAGGAGCGGGGCGGGGTGAGGACTTTTGCATAGGCTGTTGGAGAAGACATGTTCTGGGTGCGTGACTCTTTCACCGTGTATGACCTAAATTATAGAATGAGTCTCTATTTTAGGTCTGTGCTGGTGGAGATAGCCTGATCGGTCAAAGCTAGCAACACGCCTACTATATATATTTATATACCTCCCAAATTATGGAATGAGTCTTTGACCACTATTTCAAAAAATTATGGTCAAATTTAAGTCATTCTTGAAGAATTTTTATTAATAAACCAAACCACGACGAAAGAAGTGATATTTTACATAAATTTTTGAATAAGACGAGTGGTCAAATTTGGTGTCAAAACAGTCAAACGTTTTATAATTTGGGATGGATTGAGTACTTGTTTTGTTCTCCGTTCCCAGCTGCTGCATCTGCATGCCTGGACCCTGCAGCTGGATCATGCATGCTCGTGCACCGGACCCGGCACAAAGGATGTCACCCATCTGATCTGAGCCTGATGGAAAAATATTTTCAACGAAGCAAAGCCAACACGACCACACGGTTGCGAGCGAGACCAAACAGACTAGGAGTAGGAGTAGAGTACGAGTACTCTCCTGCCATTGCCATACCAAAGCCCCGGCCATGCACTGAGGCGTGCGCAGTGCAGGGGCGAACGACACACGTGCGGCTGCCTGGTGCCTGCTTCTGCCGGCGCTGTAGCTGCACACGGGTGCCCCTCCGCACGTGCTGGTGCCTGGTGGTGGAGGTCTCGTGCGGTCGTGCCTGCCGCCGCCAGCCGCGGCACAGCCACAGCCCACAGGCCATCCAATCCCATCCCATCCCCCATACTACTTCCCTGGCCGGCCATGCATGCATGCACGCAGCAGCGGCTGCAGGCAACCGCCGCTTGCCTTGGCACACACACACGTGCGGCCTCTCGCACGCGCGCACAGGCAGGCAGTAGTAGTAGTACTGCTATGGTGGTAGGAACGCCCCTAGCTAGACCTAGGTTATTATGTTATGTGTGTGCACGTACGATGAGTTTGGTGGTACTTGGGCGCGCGGCCATGGGCCATGGCACACGTGTGGCCCCACACGAACACCCCCCTGGCCCTCTCTACGCCTAGGCGGGGCTCCGGCCCGGCCCTCTAGTGTAGGCCCTAGGGGTCCCTCGTGCGTGCATGCATGCCTGACCTTGCATTGCACAGCGACACAGCGTTGGTGCATGGACCTCCCTAGGAGTATTTTAGCTAAGGCCTCCCCATCATCATCTGACTGCACTGTACCAGCAGCAGCAGCGGCGGCAAGATCCAAACCTCGATTCGCAAATTATTGGATTCCTATGACCTTTTCAGTTCGCGGTTAGTTAGGTGCTAAGGCGTTCTAGTGCATGGATTAAAAGTTTTAGTCCCATTAGTCCATGAACTAAAAATGGACTAAAGTGATGTTTGGTTTCTGGAACTAAAATGAACTAAAGTGAAAAGAGAGGCCAATAAATGAGAGACATGGGTGTCCCCAACACCTTTTAATCTATTTTAGTCCAGTTTTATGGACTAAAGGACTAAAGAATTTTAGTCCACTTTTAGTCAAGTGTTTGACTATTTAGTCTAACTAAAGTGCAAATTTTAGTCCAAAATGCATGGCAACCGAACACCCCCTAATAATGCAAACTCGGTTAATTGTCGGTCGAGATCAACCGACTCATCCATCCTGCATGAGAAGGCCTGGCTAAGTTTTCTTTCGAAAGGACGGTAAAAGCTTTGTCACGATATTATTATTGAGAAGGAGAAAAAAATTAAAACAGAGTTCCTTGATTCAGTATTTTAGGGAAAATGGGCAAAAAGAAACTCATATAACTAAGTGTGTCTATTTCGCTGGGTTCTTTCTCGCTCCAGCTCTAACTCCGTGCTATAGAAATCGAGAAGCCGAAGTTTAAGGAGAGAGAAGAAAACTAGCTTCACTTGGCTTCCAAATTATTTGAAAAAGAGAAAAGAAAGGCATCAATAAACGATGCAAGAACTGGAGGAGCCAGAGCCATGTTCAGTTGCTCGATACGTGTTGAGCTGGGGGACGGGGTCTCAGCTCGCTTCTGGACAGATGCGTGGTTGTCGGCTGGACAGATCAAGGCTTTCGCCCCGCACCTGTTCCGGGCCATGGGCAAACGTTTCCTCAAGACTTCGGTGAAGGACGCCATCTTCCAGCATAGATGGGTGCGCCACATCTCTGGAGCTCACACTGCGCCAGTGCTATATGAGTACCTGGACCTTTGCTCGTCCTACCGATCGTTCTACCTCAGCATATCGTCCCTCTTGGGCGCCAGCGAGGTATGGAAGGCCTCGGCGCCACCGAAGGTGAAATTCTTTTTCTGGCTCGCCCTCCATCGGCGCATTTGGACGGCGGATCGCAGGAAGAGGTATGGGCTTAAGGATTCCGCGGAGTGCGTCCTCTGCGGCCAGGAGGACGAGACAATGGACCATCTGCTCGCTTCCTGCGTTTTCACAAGGGAACTCTGGTTTCGCTTTCTTCGCCCTAGCGGTTGGGAGCCGTTGTCGCCTTCTGCTCACTCTCCTCTGTCGACCTGGTGGATGGATGGCCGGTATTCTGTGCCCGCGCAGCTTCAAAGGGGATTCGATTCCACCGTCCTCCTGGTCTCGTGGCGGCTCTAGAAGGAGCGTAATTCACGTACCTTTGACAACTCCGCGTCCACGGTCCAGCAGGTTGCGAAGCTAGTGTTGGAGGAGACTGATGAGTGGATCGCCGCCGGGTTCGTGGCGATCGCTGAGTTCTTGGTCATTTCTTCTGTTGTCTAGTGTTTTTGCGTCGCTCGTCGCATTGTGCTTTTGAGATGTAATCCGCTATGTCTGTGTCTGTCCGATTGCTCGTTTCGGTAAGACTGTGAACTTTCCTATCCTGGCAGCTCGCCGGGATAGCTGTTGTTTGTTTTGTTTACCCTTCTTAATGAAATACACGTGAAGTCGTGTTCTAAAAAAAAAAGCACAACTAGCACACCTCCATACAACTAAGCACACACACAAAAAAAACACGGAGCAAGGAATTGAAGGACCATACCAAAAAGAAATATTGCTAATAGACTATGGTTACATGGGCGGGTGAGATTGATCCATACCTGAAGCTGGTCACCAAGTGATGGAGAAAGATGGAAGCTTCCAGCCTGGCCAGATCCAGGCCTGGGCACAGCCTCTGCCCACCACCAAAAGGAGTGAAGCTGCTGGTGCTCGTGTCATTCTCCTATTCATCATTAAGTTGTTGACCAAATTAACGCATTATGAGGTTTCCAAGAATCAAATCACGATCATTATTGTAAGCTTCACAAGTAGCTAGCCCCACAACATTTCACTTGTCGACACCAATCATCGGTTTAGAATTCATCTATCTATATATGGCATAGTAACTAACATTCGAGACTTTAAGCGTTCGTAAGTGAAAAAAGAGAACTAAGCAGTTGTTTCCTCGACCAATGCGTAATTAAGTACTTATTCGAAAGACCAATGCATAAGAACTAAGTTATTTCTGATAATGTTAAATATGCAGTACCGTCATTTTCAGAAACTAATTAAGCAAAGTTGAGCATGATAAGAACAGCAATATGCAGAGGCTTGACAGTGAATGGTCTCTGTTATTTTCCTTACTAGGTATTAGTACAGGGCAATTCCATGATGAGCTTACCCATATAATATAGGAGTAAATTAACCCACATGTTAGGAGACCCACAAGCCCCACTCATCAAATCCCTATTATGGTGGTGTTGCCTAAAGGAGTAGCAATTGGATGAACATCTCTACCAAATGTGGGGCTGAATCTCACCTTCCACCTCCATGGATTGAACCTGTAGGGCTCATCGTAGCGCTTGTCGTCGAGGTGGACCGATCGGAAGTACACAAACACGCACCAACCTTTGGGGATGAGGTGCCCCTTCACCTCGACGTCCCGCACCGCCTTGCGCATGATCCCGTTGATGATATTGCCCATCCGTAGTGTCTCTGTTATCACCTATATATGTATGACAAAAATGTTTTTGTTTGCCCACGTAAGATTTGATTGTTAAACTGGAAGAAAATGCATGCACTGCACATATGTCCTAAAGCCCATGATCACTGATGACAGAGAAATTTAGGAGCCATGAGGGCAATTGGGTCTACTTACATGTTGTGTGAATGACAGTGACATGTAGTCCGTCCACTGCAAGGTCTCTCCCATGTCGGTTTTTCGCCTCTTGAGCTGCATGTTCTCCTCCTGACCAAGTGAGAGTGACCAGCAATTTGTTTGGTGAATTGTTGCAGCAAATGGCCACTGAAGCTAATTCTATCTATTTATTTTATTACTGAAGAGAAAGAAACCAAAACAGAGAGGCACCCCTGTTCTCTAACAGTAAAGACGCAAGCAGATGTTTCATTGAGTTCATTGTTTCATTCACGTGGCATCAGATCTGAACAAGGTGGACAGAAGAGTAATACTTAGCACTGTAGAGCTGTAAATGGAAAGTAGTAAATCAAAGGATGATTGATGCTTGAGTTGTAGTATCTTTCTAGGTAGCGGAACCTTTTGCCCTCTAGTTTCGGTATGAAAATATCCATGCTAGAGAATAGACCTATTTTGTTTGTCCAACTGATGGCACGTGCATCTGTTCATGTTCAGGCACACATCACCATCAAAAGCACTAGATGAACAAATTAGCCTTGTCATCATACAAACCAGCGCCAAAAGCAAGGTAACAAAAATTAGGTTAGGTGGCATGACAACGTCTAATTTGAAGTGACTAAATGCGCAATATATAGCATGACTATCTATCGACCAAGAAGATGGCACAGCACATCACGGCACGCTGGTGCAGAGCCTCTTGTGGAGCCAGACCATGACTACCAGTGATGACTATCTATCGACCAAGCCCTGTTCGCTTCGCTGAAACTTGACTTATGCTGATTTGTTATGAGATGAAAACACTGATGAAAACACTGTTCATTGACTGAAAAGTCCTGATGAAGTAGTTCAAGCGAAATTGGGCTTATGTCCATTCGGAAAACTCGTTGGAAAAAAAAACATCCTAAAAGGAAATATAGAATGCTACACTAGTGACTAGTAATTGCCAGACAACATACAGAGATGCGCACTGGCATAGTCACATACCTCGAGTTGTTGCAGAGCAAGCGGGCACTCGCTGATATACTTGACGGCGAGCGTGATGAGCACGGGCACAGAGTCCTCGGCGGGGATCATCAGGTCGATCATGTTGTCGGATATGAGCTCGTCGGTCAGCTCGTCGCTGCCGCCGCTTATGAGCACGTCGATGGCGTCGCGCGGGGGCCCGGCCTCGCCCTCGCCGCCGCAGTCAAGGAGCCTCCTCCGCCGCCGCCTCTTCTCCTGTATGATCCCCTGTATCAGCCTGGCCATCCTCTTCTTGGCCTGGCAAAGTGGCAACAGATTCATTCATTCGGCTCCTTCAGTGCAGTGTCTGTGAATCTGTGATCGATCGATAGGAGTAGAAACCCAGGCAGACAGAGGTGCAGTATAGCGAGCATGGTAGAGCCTGTGTAGTGTAGTGTAGTGTAGTGTACCTGGAGGGATCTGTAGAGCCTAGTCCCGGGCAGCTTGATGGGGAGGGACATGAGGCCGACAATGAATTCCTGGAACTGGTGCTTGAGCTGCTGCATCTCCGGGCCTGCCTCCAGCCCGATCAGACCCTTCACCAGGATCTCGAACACGATCTGCTGCCCACACAACAATTCATTCATTACTCACTGCGTACTGCATGCACAGTGATCGATCGATAGATACATACGGAGTACATGCACAAACACCATTTCCCTCAACTGTTATCTCTCTCTGTGTCTGTGAGACTGTGATGAGCACTTCGACAGTACAAGTGCAAGAAAGAAAGGAGTGCCCTGTACTGTACTGTAGGCTGAAGCTGCCAGGCACATTTTTTTTACTTGTTTTTTGGCGCCGGCCGGGCAGGCTCCACCCCCACCGGGGCAGGGGTAGGGGTAGGGGCAGGGCAGGGCATGAAGGCGCGCGCGTGGGGAATTGAATGGGGGAGACGAGAGGAGAAGGAGAACAGGTAGGCAGTAGCAGCGTGCAGTAGTGCAGTGCCACCCCCAACTTCCCCCAATCCCATTCTTCTCCATTGAAGATACTACTACTGCTGCCATACCACCACGCCCACACACACGTACTGTACAGTCACACGGACGGATGGATACCAAGAGCATGCGGAGTGGAGCATGGCAACATGGCAAATTGGCACGGTGGAGTGGAGAGGAGGTGAGAGCGACGGGGCCGCCGCCCCCGGCCCCGCCCCCACCCCTCGGATAGCGGCTTCCATGTGGTGACACGGCAGCGCACGTGTGCACGCCGGCCGCGCCCTTGGTCCGCGCGCCACCATGCCATGGCCATGGCCATGCCGATGCCACTGCCAGCCATTCCTCTCCACGATCGATGCTCCTGCTGCTAATTCAATTACTAGCCAGGGACGGGGGCGATCGAGTCGAGGGGCAGGGCAGGTGCCGGGCGCCGGCAATGGAGGATGGCCGGAAGCCCTGAACCATTACGCTGTGGCTGTGCAGTGCGGGGTGTAGAACAAGCAAGCAAGGCAGGGGGGCCTAGTACGTGCGTACCGTCTTGGCGTGGTCCTGGAGGCGGAGCGGCGGCGCGGTGGCGCCCAGAGTCTTCCAGTCGGCGAGCGCGGGCGCGAGGCGTCGCTGCATGTCGGCGGTGACCTGCGCCTTGAGCTGCGGCGACTTGAAGAAGGCGCCGACGAGGCCGTGCACGCGCCGCTGCAGGCTGCCGTTGATGAGCAGGATGGAGGACTTGCCCATGAGCTCCGTCAGCGACCGCGGGTACCAGGGCACGAAGGCGCGCGCGTCGCTCTGCAGCACGAACCGGCTCACCTCCGCGTCCGACGTCACCACCGTCGCCGAACCGAACAGGTGCGACCGGAACACCGCGCTCCCGTGCCTGCGCGCCGTTCTCGTGCGTGTCAGCCCATCAGCATGCGTGCCAGCATGTCACGACTCACGTACGTGCGTGCAGCAAGCAAGGAAGCAGGTGCAAGTGCAAAGCAGGCCACTTACAGCAGGCGGCGCTTGTCGACGAAGGCCTCCGGGCGGGAGGAGTAGGCACAGGACACGAAGTCCAGCGTCTCGCCGACGAGCGGCCACCCGAAGCTGCCGGGTGGGAGCCGTGCCGGGGCCGCCTGCTGCTCCTTCCCTCCGGCGGCCCGCTCCCTGCCGCTGAGCCTGCGGGACAGCAGCACCCACAGGCAGACCACGACCGCCGCGAGAAGCAGGGGCGGCAGCAGCAGCACGGCGGCGCGCGCCGGCTCCGGCGGCCGCGGAAGCAGCTGCAGGGTGGTGGTCGACATGGCTGGCTCTGTCTCTATCTCTGTGCGCGTTTGCACCCACCGAGGCGAGGCGAGGCGAGGCGCGCGAGAAGTGAGCTAGCGAGCGACTGAAGAAGCTGCGCGAGGACGAGGGAGGAGATGCACGGCAGACGCCACTTATATGTAGCGTGGCGTGGCGTCAATGGAAGCATGGAATCGAATCGCCAAGTGCAAAGTACATTACAGACTACAGGGGGGTAGAGAGAGAGAGAGTAGAGAGTGGAGAAGAGAGGAGAGCCCTGGATTTAATCATTTTAAAAAGGTATTTATATTAATGAATTATATATATACTATGCTATACTGTAGTCCTGCTAGCCTGTTCGGTTGGCTGGTTCGTTTCGTTGCTGGTTCGTAAAAAAATACCGCTGACTAATTTGTGTGAGAGGAAAATACTATTCCGATAAGTTACAGCAAACGAACAAGCTATCAGAATTCAATTTCAAAGTGGTCGTAGCAGGACGGATACTAAAATATATATTTTTCCGATAGATGGATAGGAATTTTAAAATGTTTTCTAGCGATTTAAAAATGTCTTGTGTATAGTCCCCACGTCTATTGATTGTGTGTCGTGGCAGGGGCAGCCGGGCACCGTTGTTTTGCGAAGCCTGGTGAGAGTCCCGAGCAGAGATGAGGTGAGCGAGGCTCTGAGAGTGATGACCGGTGCTCAGACTGCTCAGCTGTCAGCTCACCGCCTCGTGCACAAGAGCCCAGGGGGGCCCACACCCATAAAAAAGGCCATGACAAGGACGCCTATTTTTATTTGATGATTGACCAATACCAGAAAAACTCCTAGAAACAGTACTGCCGCAGTATCCTCACGACACCAAACGTACATACTAGTAGTACTATTTGAAAACTGAAACTTCATTGTATTCGAAAAAAACCAGGTGAAATTCACGAATACTAGCTGGATAGAGTTGAGTTGGTTTTGAAAAAGAGTAGCCGGTAGCAAGCACATCCATAATCCGGTGCGGTGCGGTGCGGTGACGGGTTTTCTTTTTTTGGCGCCGGGAGATGAGACCAACGCCTTGATTAGTTTGCAAAATTTTTGGTGAAATAATACTATAGCACTTTCGTTGTTATTTGTCAATTAGTATCCAATTATAATTTAATTAGGTTTAAAAGATTCATCTCATAAATTTCGTCTAAACTATATAATTAGTTTTATTTTTTATTTATATTTAATGTTTAATACATGCGTCCAAAGATTTGATATCACGATAATCTTAAAAATTTTATAAAATGAACTAGACGGCGTCCAACAAACAACTCCTTGAAAAGAGTGAGCCTGGGTTAAGCTGTGCAGCCTGTACATCAGCCACCCAAAAAAAGATTCCTGAGTTGAGTACTAGTAGTGTGGTAGCTCTCCTAGCTACTCCTAGACAGCTAGGAGCACGTAGGAGTACAGAGCTAGGCCTCCCACAGTGAGTCAGTGACAGCCTCCCCGTACGTACGTCCCACGACCACGACAAATCTGCGCGCACGTTCGGTTTTGAAAAGACTTGCGGCTGCAATAAGGGCCTATCCCTATCCGCACCTTTTCTTCTCGGTTTCAACTATTTTTTCTTTTTCTCGGAAGAATATGCAAGTCAGTTAGCCCTGTTTAGATGTCATCCAAAATCCAAAAATTTTCAAAATTTCTCGTCACATCAAATTTTACGGCATACATGGAGCATTAAATATAGATAAAAAGTAATAACTAATTGAACAATTTGCCCATAATTGGCGAGACGAATCTTTTAAGCCTAAATAGTCTATAATTGGATATTTTTTGCCAAATACAAACGAAAGTACAATAGTAACCAAAAGCCAAAAAATTTCGCATCTAAACGAGGCCTTAATAGGTCTGAGTCGACCTCTCCCCGTAGTACTAGCTCTTAGCAATGATTCATAGGATGATTAGATCTATATAACACTATCATATAATCTTAGAATGTGTATATAAATCTAGCTCTTTATTCAGAACTAATTTTTCTCTCTCTTCTATTAAAATATAAAAAATACTAAAAACTACCTTATGAGTCCACCGTTGCGGCTGCCCTTATAAAAGGAAATACTCACATCACTTGATCCACCGTTCTCTCCACCTAAAATAAGTGTTTATCTTACTTCTTGAGAAATCAAATTTATTTAAATTGGTTAGATTTATAGAAAATATTATAAACATTTGTACTCTTAATATATTTACTATAAAAATATATTTCACTATAAATCTAAATATATTTATCACATAAAATTTAGTATTAGTGCGTGTATATATAGTTAAATTTAAAAAAAAATCATTTCTCGAGAAACGAGATTCATAGTTACTTTGACGGAGGGACTACTGCTCGCTATCTAGTCGTAGTAGAAAACATAGTGTGGCATTTGTTCAGGGGTTAGCTAATGGGGCCTCACGTGGTGCTTCATTTTTAAAACATGTGGTGCCCAATTCCTTCGAGTTGATCTTGTATGTCATGTCCTTTTCTTCATATAGGCTGCCGACTCGTTGATAGTATCAATATAACAAATGGTGGATAAGGCACAGCCGTGCCAATCCAAAGCTACTGCTTACTAACATTCAGATCCCCCAGTTATAACCAAGGCAACATCATTACCGGTCTGCAAACCTGTATATAAGCTTCATTTTATAGGTTGCCATGAGCAATCCATAAAATTAAATCTATATGTGGGTTCGTAGATTGGCCCACTAACATCATCATAGGGTCCATATGCCATCATGTCTTTGGTCTATTAAACAAACAGAGATAGGAGTATATTCTTTACACTGACTCCCTCCACCCCACGAAAAAAGATCATATAGCATTTAGAATTTGTCCAAAAAAAGGGAAGATCCTATAGCATTCAGATTGTCTCAAAAAACAGAAAGATGATATAGGATTCAGAATTTATTCCAAAAAAAAGAGACAGTAAACATTGTTTGATATTGTGCATTACTGTTTATCATTATCCACTAGTACTTTTGAGAGTCATTTTGCTTGATCTTTAATTTGTTATCTAGATTCTATAATATATTTCTTTGTGGGACAGAGGGAGTATATGTCCATATGGACCATGGAGAACAGAGAATGGAACTAAAGCCATGACATACAGCTCCATGCCGAAGCCGAAAGCCCGAAACGAAACGCAAGGAGTGATGCGCAGTCATCATGGAGTAGTCGGCTGCCGGCTGCCGGCTGGGGGTCTAATTTGATTGAGGCGGCTTTGCGGTTGATTGCATATATACAATCAAACCGCATTAGAGACATACTCCTACGTACATACATAATCAGGAAGGAAAGCAGGCGAGTATACGGACCCATGAAGAATCTGATGCAATGAGAACAGTAAGATCGAACAAACGTAAAGAAATGGAGGTAAGGCAAATCATTACACCCCCTTTCGGCTGGATAAACATTTTTTCATATCATTATTAAAATATAAAATCGTTACTCCTAGGCAACTTCACTCCTCTATGATACCGCGCCCATCATTACACGTCCAGGAACAAGGATTTACAATTTGGGTTTACATTGACCTCTTTAGGTAGGAGTATGTAGTCTGTAGGATATGGGTCAGCAACATTTTTGTCGATTCTGCGGCGAGTGGGCATTCGATTTAGATACGATCGATAGATTTATTAGTGTTTTCGTGTGGCCCTAACGCTTTCCGGGCACGAACAAAATTAAATAACAGATGCGGCCAACCACCGACAGCCTTCGTGCTACAGTGCGTAGTGTTGTAGAGATAATATAGGTTTCTGCAAGACGAAGACGACAACGATCCTGTGGTCGACTCTACAGCTTGGACGCACCTCGCTCCGATCCAGAACGAAGAAGACACCATACCAAGCGACGTTGCATCACACCATTCACCAGCGAGGCGAAAGCGAGCTCGATCGGACACGGTGCACGGACCCTCTCCGCAGCCTGCAGACTTCCCGGCAGCAGAGAACAAGCGCAACGGCAGCGGCGGCACGTACAGCTACAGCGCGTCGTCCTGAGGCCTGAGGGCCTTGACGTTTGCCGCGCGGGTCCGCGGGTCCTCGGCGTCGCACACGCCCTCTGCGGCCGCTCCTCTCCCGGGCTGACTGACGACCAGGCCGCCGCCGTGTTTGTTTCCCGTTTGCCTGCGCCCAGGGCTAGTACACCGCCGTACGTACCGCCCGCTACTGCTCACTGGCAAGCGATCGTTCATCGTTCCCTTCCTCTGCTGCGGCTGCTTCTGCTGCCTGCGGCGTCGTCTGAAGCGGAGTCGTGTCGAAAGGGCAGTGGAAGAGGGTACTACTGCTACTACTCCCGTTGTCATCGTTCCCCTTTTGACAGGGAGTGGTCAAACAGAGCCGAAAGCAAACAGTCCTCTAGCGCCTCTCGGAAATATCAACCAGCTCACTCGCTACGTGCAGGGCTTCCCCGCAACCAGGACTCGGGAATTGGACGCAAACCTCTCTCCTGCACGTCTCACAGTGAAATCCAGATAGGAATGAATTTCCTAGAAAAACTTTTACAAGAATCAATTCAATTTTATAGAAGAAAAAGAACATCTCCCGCTCGAAAGAGACCTGAACAAAAGGATCCATCATTAACCAAATTCCAGATTTGTGCGGCACTAATCTTGCAGCCACCGCCAGATCCGGGACTCCTTGCCGCCAGTGGTGGAAAAAAAATAGCAATACATGTGTCAAATGTGTCAAGGGGGGCACAATTTTTTGGGCAGTGCGGGTAGCAGTAGTATCAAGCAATGATCGTGACCAGAAATGATGCACGTCGCACTCCACTCACTTGTTTAGATGGTGCTTTCATTCTCTTCTATAGTTCTATTATATCTGGCCCCACGCCTAAATCACTAGCGTGAGCCATAGTTTTAGTAGTTTTCTAGCTCCAACTCCTGTGATTTGATTAACGCAGCCGCCCCCACGGATGGCCGGATGGGGGCCAGCCGGCCAGGCATTGGAGCTTTTGGTTTCTTTTTTCAGGCAATCGATACTGCACCTAACCTCACGG